AACCCTACTACCCAGGTTCCTTCTCACAGCCTTACCATCCAGGCTTTCATATCGAAGTAACCCTACTATTCAGGTTTCTTCTCAAAGCCCTACTATCCAGGCTTTCATATTGAAGTAACCCTACTATTCAGGTTCCTTCTCACAGCCCTACTATCCAGGCTTTCATCTCGAAGTAACCCTATGACCCAGTTTCCTTCTCACATCCCTACTATCCAGGCTTTCATATCGAAGTAACTTTACTACCCAGGTTCCTTCTCACATCCCTACTATTCAGGCTTGCATCTCGAAGTAACCCTACGACCCAAGTTTCTTCTCACAACCCTACTATCCAGGTTTTCATCTTGAAGTAACCCTACTATCCAGGTTCCTTCTCACAACCCTACTATCCAGGCTTTCATCTCGAAGTAACCCTACGACCCAGGTTCCTTCTCACATCCCTACTATCCAGGCTTTCATGTCGAAATAACCATACTATCTAGGTTCCTTCTCAAGACCTACTATCCAAGCTTTCATCTCTAAGTAACCCTACTGTTCAGGTTCCTTCTCACAGCCCTACTATCCATACTTTCATGTCGAAGTAACCCTACTATCCAGGTTCCTTATCATGCCCTACTATCTAGGCTTTCATCTCGAAGTAACCCTACTATCCAGGTTCCTTCTCACAGCCCTACTATCCAGGCTTTCATATCGAAGTAACCCTACTATCCAGGTTCCTTCTCAAGCCCAACTATACAGGCTTTCATGTCCAAGTAACCCCACTATCCAGGTTCATTCTCATAACCCTACTATCCAGGTTCTTCCTCTCTTATCCCCAGACAGCAGCCCACAACACTGTGATACCGGGACCCGATCAAACATGATTGGTTTCACATCTCTCCAGTAATTCGCAGTGCAGCATATACCCCGACCAGACACGCAGTTCATTTCTGCTTCCCCAAACCAGAGTTATTCCCCAGTAGAGTAACGGACAACTAAAGCTCCTAAAACTCTATTTCTCCCAAGTCAGAGACCAACATTCCCCAGCGAAGTCCTCCTCAACAACAAGTATACGGGTTCTTGCAAAGGAATATCTTATGCGATCGATACCTCTTCAGATGGAATCTTTAAACCCATCCCCGACAATATTCAATCCTCACCTTCCAAATGGCGTCTGTAAGCCCATTCCCGATAGCTCCCATCAGTACCACTTCATGCGAGTGCAAATTTATGGGCACTCTAGTGATCAATCCTCTTCCACCTTCAGATCACGAAAGGCAGACGAGCCAATCTACATCCTCAGGTTTAAGAAGATTGAACAGGGGTAGCTGTTGTACCCCAAAATTTTCCCTCTCATTTTACTTAACAAATATCAAGTGAGGTCCCCAATTTGTTCAAGGTTGCCCAAGAGTTGACCAGACAAACTCTCTTCTAAGGCAGTATACTTCAAATTAGGGTTTCCCTCTTCATCAAGATGTGTGAACCACAAAGGACTCAAATTCTCACCATTGCCCTAATATGTTCTCAAGATCATCCATGTAAAGTTTCAAGCCTTGCAGAAGAAGTTTGCCCAGTCAACTGCTCAGATGCTTGGAAAATCAATTGTACTAGGTCAAAAGTCAACTGTGGCCCACATACAGTAAAACTTCAAGATTTTTGGTAAACATCCTCATTTTGAAGTAATATCCATCATTTGATCAAGGGTTGATCATGATTCCTAAAGAATTGCTCACAATTCATCAAAACCCAAAAGTTGCTAAATTAGGGTTTTACAAGAAAAGTTAACTCAACTTTGACCAAGCATAACTTTCTCATACTTTATCAGAAATGACCCATCCAAAGCTCATTTTGAGGAGGATGAATTCCATACAATTCATCTTCATCTCCCGAGTCCAGAATATGCACTCATAAAAATATATGAATTTTGACATTATAGGTCCTTTTGAAAAGTCAACAAAAACACATTTTGGATCAAAACTTCATACATGAACATGGAAGACTCAACTGAGATGAGACTAAAAGGGTTGTTTAGAGGACATCCTAAGCTTTCTAAAAAGTCCAAGAACACCTCTCTATGGTCAAAATTGAGAGAGTTATGCATTGGCTAAGTTGACCATTTTTGCAAAATTTCCAAAAGTCAAATGTGCTCAAATTTGCATTTTTTGCTAAATGGGCCCAACTTTTTATGCTTGCACCTCAAGTATAATGTGGTCCACGACTCAAATGTTCATTCACCCATTATGTGCTTAATTTTCAATTTATTTTTATTTTTCATTAGTTAAAAAGTGAATTAAATCAAATAAATGATGAAAATTAACAAAGATACGATTTGATTTGTTTTTTTTTGACAGATTGACAATCAAGATATGCTGAGTTAACAAGATCAAATCTAATTAAGGTAAATTGGTACAAGAAAGGCATGATTTGACTCAAAATAGCAACATATCATATAGCTTGCAAATCAAATCAAATCTTGGATAAATGCAAAGATTTAGTCCAAGTTTGTTAACCTAATTCACTCTATGTTATATAATGAACAATTCCAGATCAAAATACAGGGGTTAGAGTCGTGAAAGGAGGCAGAGCAAAGTCACAAAATTCAAAGAAAAGTGTGAATTGGTTTTCACTCCATAGGCCATCTCAAGCCATCCTAGCTATTTCAATCCATTTCCGGACCTTCCCAGAAGCCAATTGGATTAGTTGCAAGGCTTGAAGCACCCAGAAACACCAACTGTAACTCTCATGGTTTGTGTTTTTTTCAGAATCGGTTATCCCAATTCTTGCATCATTAGCAATTTTAATTGTCATATTTGTGATTATCATCATGTTTGCAAGCTAACTGCATTATTTAATTTTGTTTTTGAAGCATGTACACGATGTTGCCATTGCTAGGGTTTTTGTGTTATTTTTAGGGTCTTTTTGTACAGGAACAATTGGGCTTTGAATCAGGTACCATGATGCTCGTGAGGATGAGACGAGTTGATTGGTACCATTACCTTTTATTTATCTTGCGTGTACAACATTTTTGAAATGTGCAGGGTTATACCTACAGTGGATGTCTGTAGGTAAAAGTCCATTCGTCTAAAATGAAGGAGAAGGGAAGAAGATGATGCGTGTCAAAGCGTGATTAGTCCATTCAAATTTCGCGCGTTTGGGGCTGGCAGAATATTTAAATTGGCTTTTGGTCTTATTTGTTTATTATGCTTACAAGTTAACAATCTAGCGCAAATGGTTGGAGGGAATGCCTTTGATGCACACGCCCTGGGTTCGATCCCAGGCGTGTGCATTTTATTATTTTCTTGATTGTTTCAGGCGAATCCAATGCAATACATCATCATACGCCTTCTATACACCCTCAGTACCTGGCCACTGGATGTCCATCTAGTCAGATCCAACGTGCCAGCAATGAAGGTCCATGGTATTCCTCAAAGTCAACGATGCACCAGATCCAAGGTTAACCAGGCCTAGAGGCTTAATGGGCCAAGGATTTCAGTTCCTCAACCCCCAGCATTGCTATTCAATACAGGCCCATTCCTAAGTTTTTTTCTTATTTTATTCTTTGCAATTTGTTTATTTATTTTATTTTTAAAAAATCTATTTTTTTCCATAAATCACAAAATCAAGAATTCACAAATTTAGGATTAGTTTTTATTATCAAATTTAATCTTTTAATTAATTAGCTTATTTTAATTTAGGGTAACTTTAACTTATTTTTTATAATAAAAACCAATTAGAAAATTAGGTTAACTCTTGATATAATTTTTCTCTTTTTCTCAAATAAAACAAAAATACAAAAAATAGGTTGTTTAGAATTAATTAATTTATTTTCCTAAATTAACATTAATTAGAACTTAGGATTTTCTTTGCAATTTAATTATTCATTATTTTCTCAAATAACAAAACATGATAAAAAAACATTTTTTCTTTAATCAATCACCAGTAGGATTAGTCAAATGGTCAAAACCCTAATCACCTCGCATTTAACTTACCGCGCGTATTTAATTCTTTTATTATTTTTGTAACTGTTTTGAGGATGTAATAGTTTTAATTAGGGTTTTTACTTATCGCGTTTCCCTGATTTTTGGTTATGTAATTAATCCCCCTCCCCGAAGCCATATAATAGTTAGGTTTTATATTTTCGCACTTTTAAATTTCCGCAATTATTAACTGTTAGATGAATGCTAATAGGATTGTATGGCAAAAATGCATGACAAAATTAAAATGGTTAAAAAACCCTAATGTGCAAAGATAATAAACTGAAAATAAATCACTCGCACATATTCACTCTTAGGGTATACTCTCACTTCGGTTGCCTTCGGTAAACGATCATTAAGTATAGGGTGTCTTAGTGGTTGCCCTCCATTCTAAAAGATCAAATTGTCCCATTCGAATGTTGTCTCAGAAATGTTGCCTCGAAAATGTTGCCTCGAAAATGTTGCCTCGAAAATGTTATCTCGAAAAGATCTTAAGACTCTAGGGATACTACTAAGGTGTCCTAAGATTGCTTTAGTGACCATACGTCCCTTTCAAATTGACCCTTACAACTCCAGCGACGGTGCTACCTATTTCTCAATAGTAGGATAGCGCTGTCTAAAGGAAACAGGAATAGAAATGATCTTTTTTTCGAGTAGGTAGATGCTAGTAGGTACTTGCTCAAACAAACTTTTCACACCAACACCTTTCAAACAATTTTCAAAACACCTTCGTCACATCCTTGAGGACTGATACAAGGGTTATCACAAAGTAAAACTTTTTCAAAACAAGCACACAAACACAAGCAATTCAAAAATGAGCAAGTATCTAAGAGCCCATAGAAAACCATGGATAGAAAGGGTGCTAACACCTTCCCTTTCTATAATCTACCCCCCGTACTCAGAGTATCTCGAAAAAGGATTTTTTCTGTACTTTTTTCCTTTCCGATTGGATAAAATAAAAGTCGGTGGCGACTCTTGCTTACCGCGACATTTTGCAAATAAAAAACGCAAAACGCAAACCAGTATTAAACAGTCGGTTCTGCCACCGTATCACACTTCCCAATCACTTCCATTTGTATTCCAATAGCCGTGTCCACCAAGATCACTAGAACTGCTCGCGTCATTGTATTCACCTCCATCAAACTCACAATCTTCATCCGTATGTTCATCGTCGTATTCACCTCCGTCAAATTCACCATCTTCATCCACATCTTCATCAACGTATTCAACTTCATCAAACTCAGAATCTTTATCAACAACTCTGTTGTCATGTTCGACAATATCCAAGCATCCATCCCTAAAAAAATTTAGTTCACCATCAATGTTAGCTTGCATTACTTCATGCCCAATAACGTCACCACCATCCATCTTCAATTCAATGTCTGTGAGTTACCTTTTTTGATTCACGAAAACTTGCTTCAGACCCAAATTGAAAATGGAAGAGGATAACAAATGGAAGAAATGAAGAAGAAATCAGAAGGGAAGACAAACGAAAATGACGAAGGACAATGGTTTCAGAAAATGGCAGAAATGTGAGATGGGAGACATCAGGTGAGAGAAAGATGTCAAGGGATGGTGGTGATATTGTGTGTGATAATACAGTGAGTGATACTATAGACACCCAATCCAACAACTCATATTCATTTACAAAGAAGAAAAAAAAGGCCTCTACAATGCGAGACCTATTGTAGTCGCGCACAGGAGACAACCCCACGATTTAGGTTCATTTTGGATTAGCTTTTGATTTATTAGAGGTTTTTAATTTGATTATGGTTTTTACAAAGGATAGAAATCCTTCTAAGTTTATAAAGAAATTTTAGAAAATAATAAACTCTCATATATTTTAGAAATGTATTTCTCATATATTTTAAAAATAAATGAGAGATTATTAAAAAAGATCTTAAGATTAATTATTTTAATATAAATATGATAATAGATAAAATATTATGATGAAAGCTGATTCATATAGTCGATTCTGTTTAGTAGGATAAAACTTAATTATTATATATATTTCAAAAATGGAAAAATAATTAGGTAAGTTATTCTACATTTAATAAGTGTAGCTAATAGCACAGTACTACTCATACAAATAACTATAAATATTTTTCTCGAATATCTATCATTTCTCATTTGAAACATACAATTAAGGTGATCGAAATGACGCACTTGGTAAATTCTATGTTAACACACATGCCAACGGTTACTTCTAACTTAAGTTGAAATATCAATCCACTTTCTTGCTTTTCTTTAGTAAAGTGTTGGGATATCTCAATGTTTTTGTCCGATCATGCTATACAAGATCATGTGCAATATAATAAATAATTCATTCTCACTAAACAAGCTTTAATGAAATGTTTGGCATATTTCAATATTGTTTTTTTGGATTTAGTCAATTAGCTCCATTCATATGCTGAACTGATTAATCTTGAATATCTCAATATTTTGGTCATGTCATGCCGAGCAAGAATATGAGAAATAAGATGACCAATTTAATCTTACAAAACATCATAAGGCATTCACAATAGATTGTCAAATCTTCTTGCACAAGTTTCATCTACAATAGTTCATAAATTTCTTATGTCATTATTTTCAAGTTTTTTTCAATATTAGACCGAGCCACTACATTTTCCTTCTTACTCCTCTAAGCAGCAATGTTTCTACACAATAAAGTACAATAGTTACAAATAAATATTTTATCACTTATTACACATCTATAATCAATATCAGTATATGTCTCCATAATTACGCTTCCATCTCTCAAACAAGAGAATTGTCACCATAGTGGTTTTGGAAGACTAGAGAACATGTTCTCTAACTTGTAAATATCTCTCCTTTAGATCTATTGTGATATAATCCAAGTTAAGTAATCCAAACGCAAACTCAAGTTAATTAGGTCTAGAGTTTGTTATTCAGTACACGAGTTAGTTATATATAAATAGACATATTATAAATCAATTTTATATTTATTTAATAATATCAATCCTTATTTTCTTATTCTCTCTCTCTCTCTCTCTCTCTCTCTCTCTCTCTCTCTCTCTCTCTCTCTCTCTCTCTCTCTCTCTCTCTCTCTCTCTCTCTCTCTCTCTCTCTCTCTCTCTCTCTCTCTCTCTCTCTCTCTCTCTCTTCACTAAAAATGTCTCACACACTAACAAATTGGTATCTAGAACTTTTGGTTCTTGTTCTTGACTGTGTTTTCAAAAACTTCACGTTGGTAGTCGTGTTTCCTAGAAACGTGAATCAATCGCTACAAAGATGAATGACACTAATGAAATTTCTAATTGTCTTCCAATTCTTGACGATACAAATTGGAACCGATGGAGCAAGAAGTTGAAATCCTCGTTCGATTTTTATGAAACCCTAGAAGTGGTTAAAAATGGAGTTCATGAGCTTGCTCAGGATGAAACTGACGTGCAGAAACCTGCACACAAGGAGGCGAATAAGAAAGATTGCAAGACTGGACATTGCATTCAATTAGCGGTAGATTCAATGAATTTTGACAGTATGAGATATTTTTGTAAAGTACTATGAAGGAGGTGAGGAAGTCAAAGTAGTTAAATTGCATACTTTGTGATGACCGTATGATTACTGCAGATGGGAGAAGATGAAAAGATTTCAGGCTATGTGTTGAAGGTGCAGAATCTCGTCCATCTCATGAAGGGTTATGGTGTCTAATTGATAAGATGATAGTTGAGAAGTTAATGTGTATGTTAACCTATCATTTTGATCATGTTATCCTTGCCATTCAAGAATCTTGAAACCAGAACCTTCGAAGATTTGGTGGGTTCATTGGAGGCGCATGAGATTAGGATTTAAAAAAAACAAAGGGTTCAAGATTTGATACAGGAACTGTAAGCTCAGGCATGGAAGAATCATGGTGGTCCCAAAAAGTTCAAAGGAAAAGAAGACAAGACTCAAAGTAAGAAGTCTTGGTCTAACCATCACAAGCACAAAGTCGATAATATGGCTTTTGAATCCTCGAAAAGAGGAGAAGGAAACCCCTATCAGAAAGACAAAGCAAAGAAAAAAGGCATGCAGTGTTATATCTATAAAAAGTGGGGTCACTTGGCTAAGAATTGTTGGTACAGGAAAGACAAGAGATCGACAAAAGTCAAGGACGAAGAAGAAAACCTTACATGCCAAGATTCAGATGATTTTGAAGATACGGTGGTTATGGATGCAGTTACAAATAACCATGTCAAATCTAAGATCTGGTTCCTCGACTCTGGCTGTTTAAATCACATGATTGGACGAAAGGTGCGGTTGGCAGATCTCAACGAGTCGAAGAAGAGCAAGGTCAAACTTGCAGATAATAGCTCATTGCAAGTAGAAGGTGCTAGTGACATTGTTATTCAAAGGAGCAACGAAGAAAAAGTTATGATCAAAGATGTAATCTATGTACCTGGAATAAAGTGCAATATGCTAAGTGTTGGACAACTAGTCGAAAAAGGTTTCTCAGTGGTTATGAAAGACTAAGCATTGGAACTATAAGAACAAGATTTAAATTTGTGTTTAATCTCTATGTTTTGATGATAGCAAACATATATTTTATGCAGAACAATTTTAGTTCTAATGGTTTCATTTAGTGTGCAGATACATTGTTAGTATTATAGATAGTCTTAATCAAGATATCATCAGAATCACTTCATCATTCAGAAGAAGAACCATTGAGTTTTGTTTCTAATGTAACATCATTAGATCTATGCAATGTTGAATGTTCGACAAGAAAAGAATCTCAATGAGTGTCCAAGAAGAAATAGTTTCTGGTAAGTTGTTGCTTCAAGATCAGAAATCAAGAGGAGACAAGAACAAGCCTCTAACGCATAATATCAGAAGTCAAGACTAATTCATTAGAAGAGTTAATGCTTACAATTCTAAAGAAAAAGTCAAAATTCTGAACACATATAGAGAAAGCTTATACTCCAAGATCAGAAGTCAAGA